ATTAGGTAATAATTGATCACTGTGGAGAACGAGTTAAAAAATAATGGCTGATTTCAGTCCCCTATGTCTTCCAACAACCCCAAATCATTTTGGGCCTTCACAAATAACAAAAAATGTGGTGTATATGTTGGGAAAAATGTTGAGAGCATTTTAGTATATTTACATAAGGAAGGATAGTTTTGACATTTTCAAAAATTTTATAGTAAAATTGTTACATTTTGTACTGACATAGTTAAAAATTACTGTTAAAGAGATGTTTTTGATTTGAAAGTATAAATCAGAAGAGGGTACAATGAAATTTCAGAATCAGGAGGAGGTGTCATTGAATTTAGACCTAACTAAAGGGGGGTGTGGATGAAATTTGCCCTTTTTTTTTTTTTTTTTGTTCAGTGGTCAGAGGTGTTCAAGCTAGTTTATACGTACATCGATTAATCTCCTCTCCAATTCGGTCAAAGATAAGTCATTCATACCGAAATTAAGATATTTAGAAGAGATAAATCTCTCATGACTTTAACTCCAATGGATTGTCAACAGTCGAATTCAAGACGTCTAAATTTTATAATTCATTTGTGTTATCACCTGAATTATCCCTTCAAGTTAACCCAAATCCTTCGGCACAAGTGTTGCTCATGTTTGATTTTTTGACCACGGATTACATAACTTAAATTGAAATTCTAGTCCAAATCATGTTCAATTTTTTGGATACACAAATTTTAGTAATGTTCGGATCGTAAACGAATTGAGATTTCTTTTATTATCTAAACCTAACATGAGTGTGGAAAATCTTTGCTGTAATTGTAAAAATTTTGGGTTAGACTCAGATTGGGTTTGGGTTGAGTAGTCCAAATTACACATGCATATTAAAGGTGAAAAATTGAACTTGGTGGAGATGGATACAATTAGATGTCAAGAGAATTCGGATCCTATTAAAAGTGCAATTCAAAAGTCCAAATCGGATGGTCCAGCTAAAACTTCTTGGGCTATTATTTGTCCAAACAAAATGGGAATACCTACCACATGCAGCGGTGTCTTTGCCAACTAGTCAAACGGCCACAGAATCAAGTCAACACAAACAAAATGGTCCATGCCATGAATCAATAACACCATGCCAAGTGTCAAGATCACAGGGCTGCACATTCGGGAAAAAGGATAGTGGACGACAATACAGCCGTTCTATGTTCAACCATTTTTGTTTATTTCTCGTGAGTAAATTACATATATGACCTTTAAATTATGAATCTCTTATGTTAACTATGTCTGTAATTTTCTTTTATATCAATTGAGCCCCTAAGTCTTCTAATTATGGCAATTGTGCCATTTTGTCTACTTCCGCTTAAATTTTCTAGTAAAAAGTGACGAAATGTATCACTTACGTGACACGAATGAGTTGGATCTCACACGATGACCCTTGCGTCAATTAAACCCTTGAATTTTTTTTTTGTCAATTGAATCCCTAAACTCTCTAATTGTGTTAAACTCTCTAATTGTGTTAATTGATTCATTCTATCTTTCTGTACCATATGGTCACATGACTGACATTCTCTAGCCAAGGTAGACAAAAAAACTCAATTGACATAGTTAAAAAGTTCAGGAACTTAATTGACACAAATGTCATAATCTAAAGGCTATATGTGCAATTTACTCATTTCTCTTTTTCATTATTTACTTATGTTTTGATCTTTGGGTAACCCATCAATAGACCTAAAAAAAATTTTAATGACCGATGATTAAACTTGATTGAGTTGTATAAAATTTCAAGTAGATTGAATCCAAATCCAACTAAGGGCAGGAGACTAGCAAATACCAATATGTTTTCCTCCTTCCAATACACTCTTTTTAGGTAGAATAGTTTAGTGAAAGGGCTAGTTTAGACATTAAATGATGTGCTAATATTATGAGCAACATTTGAAATTCAAGTGAGTAAAAGTCGGACCGAAAAATACTATTATGTTAGTACCACATCAATTAATTTCTCTTTGTAATCTTATTTTTATCAATCTATTATTACCCTGCATAAAAATATGCACACAAAAGAGAACTTTGCTCGGGTAATGTTTAACTTCTTCAAGTGGGAGGTGAAGGGACCTCTGAGGAATTCTATTTAGCTCTCTATTTGGTGTTGAGACTAGTTTATGTGTTTTTCGATTAATTTTCATTTCGGTCTGGTCAAAAAAAATCATCAATAACAGGACTAAGATTTTCACGAATGATAATTATCAACATTCAAACTCACAACATTTGAGTTTACTAGTCGTCCCTATTATCATTTGAACTACCTCTTGCAACAAACCTCACAATTGTTGATATTGCACAAGAAAACAGACAATATAGTCTAGCATTGAGGAGAAGAGGTGCATGGTCATCTCTGAATTTTGATCACATAATACACTAGTGTAAACCTGTGCAAAACAAGTTTTTTTAGCATTATTAAAACGTAAAAATGTGATTAAAATGCTTATCGTGGTTAAAATATAAGTTGTTTGGTAAAATATGTGATGTGGTTAAATGATTAACCGTAAATAAAAAAAATATTGTTATTAAAAGATTAAAATGTAAATAATAAGATAAATTGTTAGATTTAAACGATCTGAACTATCATTGTATTTTTTTAAGTCAGGAGCTAAAGGAGGAAAATATGTTTAATAATGTACACATTATTCCATTCCAAAAGGATAAAAAGCGTTGGTGTTTAGTGGCTCAATCTACAAAGTAGTGAATACCCAAATATAAGGTGAAAAATGTACCCATACCTGTTTCTTGAATCAATTTTACCCATATACATTTTTCATCGTGGTAATAACTTCCTCTAATCAAATTCCTTCACCAAAAAAATTTGAAAAATCATACAAATTGGAATTAAGGGGGGTAAGGAGAGAATTAATGTGAGGAGACGATTGAAAATTGAGAAAAAATTTAGTTTAGAGGCTAACTCATACCTTCATTAAAAATTAGTGGGCTATCTACAAGTGCAGAGCCATAAAATTATCAATCATGCTATGCTAGCTAAAATTAGGGAATAAATAAAGAGTTTAAATGACATGACAGTTGCTGATATGACAAGATTAATTGTCATGTCAACAAAATCTTTTCGTCTTCTCTAAATCAGGGACAGATGAGACAAAATTTTTTCGTCTCCTCCGTTTTCTTAATACAAAACAGGGAAAAAAAATAACATAATAGTTAATCTTGTCATATCAACAACTGTCATGTCATTTGATCTCTTTATTTGAACCCTAATTTTGATAAGCATAACATTACTGTAAAATTATTTCTGGGTGGACACAGGTCTCTACATCGGACTTCTGAATTGGCTAGGACTGATATTAATAATAATGTTAATAAGTAAATAAATGCTTGACTATGATAGGCTTGGTTTTGTCATCCAACATTTATTTTGAGGTTCTGTTTGTGTTTGGAGTAATGATATGTATCTCAAATTTGTAACTCAAAATTATACTCTAAATTAAGGAAGACCGTTAGATCAGTGAATTTCATTTAAAAAAGTTAATGGGACTTACTGATCCAATGATCCTCCTTAATTTGACATACAAATTTAAATTACATAGCACTGCTCGTTTGTTTGTGGGGGTGACTCGGCAAGTATACATCAAATGAATGAAAAAAAAAAGAGCTTATTTTCATGAGTGTTGGGTGGGCACCACAAAGCCATGGGTGGTGGGCACACAGCACACTCTTAATTAACCTAAACATGTAATACATAGCTAAGAACAAAACAAAAAATTCAGGGCTAGGGTGGGCTAGTACCGGCTCCGCCTTGGTTAGGCATTTTATTTATTTATTAGTTATAACTTGTGTATAAAGACACGATAAAATATAATGTCCAAAAAATTAATTTTACTATATTAAATTTTTTTTAACATATGTAATCGATCTTATGAATAATGTTTAAAATAAAAATTATATTAATTATAAATTAATCAAATATTAAATAATTATAGTTATGATATAAATGAGTAATGCGATATTTTTAAGGTAGAAATATAAAAATAATTAAACATGTGATAGAAATGAATGATGTGACTTGACGTTTGAGTGAATGAGTGACGTGACTTAACATTTGAGTCTGAAAAAGAAATGATAGGTGAGATAAGTGATTGGTAATGATTTTGAGGGATAAAATTTAAAATATGAATTGTTTTATTACATAGATTATACGAATTGAAGAGTAATTACAACAGTTTCTATCATTCGAGTAAAATGGTCAAAATAAAAGAAAATAATTACTTTATTTCTCCTTACTTTCCTCTTTTTGGTTGTATTTTTCACCCGCGTTGGAAGCACATCCTTATAGGAAGCTAGTTCACTGCTATGAATAAGACCAAACCAAACGTTCAATTGTAATGGGTTGTAGATTAAAGTTCTAAAAAACATATTAGCCTTGAAATATAATTAAAATGTTAATGCTAAAAATCGGTACGCCCGTTAATTTGAATATAATAGATTCCACTTATATCAATGTTTAATGATATTTAAGAAAATCCTTTTGTTTAAACCCTTTTTGTCCTTTGCTTTGTTATAGCTTGGGAACACCTTGAAACATTGATTTTGTGATAAAATTTAAACATTTACACTGTTTTCTAATTAAAACTAAAAAAAAAAGAAAATAATGAGCTTGACCGAGTCAAATATCAGAAACATTCAAGCTCAAATGAACTTGAAATCTTGGTGAGATCTAATTGGCCAGGGAAGGAAAAAAGTTTATTGTGACTCTTGTGATTTTTCACTCGTAACAATCAAGTGGTCCTGTTTGTTCAAGTCCAATGCACCCAAGCATACTTGATTGCTGCCTCCCACCAAATATAGACTTGTGGGTCCAAAATGATTCTGACAAGCCAAGCATTGCTGGAGTCCAGGCTAGCACAGCCCTAGAAAAAGAATCTTAACGGCTCCTATCTGCGTTGGACGCCAGGTAAGTTACCGTTGTGGGGCCTTTTTCAAACATATATAACCGTTACACAACTCCTTTCCTCATACCCAAGTCCCAAGTCCCAAGCCCTTGAACCAGAAGATTCTTGAAGCCAAAAAGCCAAAGGTGAGTTGGGTTTTCTTCCATTTTCTCCCCTAGTTTCCTTCTGAAGGTTTTCATTTTTTTGATAGCAATATGGTACCACTTTGGTATGGTACCGAAATTCTTTCTGAATGTAGATTTTGTTTTAATTTGTTTATAGTTGTTCACTGTAAAAATAGGAGGTAAGAGAATCAGAAGTAATTTTTCAGTACCGTTGTTGGACTTTGTTTTTCTAATCTTGTGTTTGATCAACTTTCAGGGTTATAGTCTGGTTTGGATTTCAATTCTATCAACCATGACTGTTGAGGTGAAGGCCGAAGCAACCCAGGTGGCTGAAGTTGTTGTTTCACAACAAGAGGATGCTTTGAAGGCTGTCAAAGAGACCGATAAAGTTGAGGGCGAGAATAAAGTGCTCGAGGCCGAGGCAAAAGTTGTTGAAAAAAGCTCTTCTTATAGGGAAGAGAGCAATTTTCTCTCTGATCTGAAGGAGCATGAGAAGAAGGCCTTGAATGAGCTGAAATCGAAACTCGAAGAAGCCATTCTTGGAAACAATCTGTTCAAGGAGGAGGAGAAACCAAAGGGAGGAGAGAAAGAAAAGGACCAAGAAGCCAAAGAGGGTGAAGCATGTGAGAAGGATGGGGAAAAAAAGTCTGATGGAGATGAGGAGGGGAGAGAAAACCAAGAAGGCGGTGAGGCGAAAAAACCCAATGTTGATAGTGAAGAGAAAACAATTGAAGTTGACAAAAACCAAGAATGTGAGGAAGAAAAGAAGATTGTTGAAATTGATAGGGATATCTCTCTTTGGGGAGTTCCCCTTTTGCCTAGTAAGGGGGTGGAGGGGACTGATGTAGTCCTCTTGAAGTTCTTGAGGGCAAGAGAGTTCAAGGTCAGTGAGGCCCTTGAGATGCTGAAAAAGACCCTTCAATGGAGGAAGGACAACAAGATTGATTCAATCTTGCATGAGGATTTGGGCACTGATCTTGCCCCGGCTGCCTACATGAGTGGCGTTGATCGCGAAGGCCACCCGATTTGCTACAACATTTTTGGGGTTTTGGACAATGAAGAGCTCTACCAAAAGACATTTGGGACGGAGGGAAAGCGGGAGCAGTTCTTGAGATGGAGGTTCCAATTGATGGAGAAGGGAATACAGAAGTTGGATTTCAAGCGTGATGGTGTCAATTCATTGCTTCAAATCAATGATCTCAAGAATTCCCCTGCACCATCCAAGAAAGAGGTCAGGGTCTCTATAAAGCAGGCTGTTGGACTTCTTCAGGACAACTATCCCGAATTCGTCGCAAGAAATGTAAGTTTTTTGTGATTTCTATTTCAATTTAGGCCTATCAAAGGTTTAAATCTATGATATTTTCAAGCAAACATGAATATTATTGGCCTATTTCTTCACCCATAAAAAGAAAAGAAATAAAGGGTTGTTCTGATTGCAGATATTCATCAATGTTCCATTCTTGTACTATGCCTTCCATGCTCTGTTATCTCCTTTCTTAACCCAAAGGACCAAGAGCAAATTTGTGGTTGCTCGCCCCGCTAAGGTCACTGAGACCCTGCTCAAGTAAGTGATTAATTCCTTTTTCCTTTACAAACTTCGCAGCCTTTTGAATCAATTGAAGCTGATGAAAACTAATTGAAATCTTGGACAGGTACATTCCAATCGAGGAAATCCCCATCCAGTATGGTGGCCTCAAGAGGGAGAACGATTTCGAGTTTTCCGGTGAAGATGGCGGAGCTTCAGAACTTCTCATCAAGGCTGGATCAACCGAAGTAATTGAAATCCCTACACCAGAGGTATTGAAATAAATTATTTGTTCAGTTCAGATTCAGATCACCTTGAATAATTTTTTTTCTCTCTCTCTCCATATCTCCCTTGGTAGATCGCCCACCACGTATTAATGATCGACCGACATAGTGTTATATAAATTGGGTCTCACACGAATTCGATGCTTGACTAAATGTTGATGACGATGACAGGTTGGAACAACATTCATCTGGGATCTGGCAGTTTTGGGTTGGGAAGTGAAGTACAAGGAAGAATTTGTTCCCACAGACGAGGGCTCTTATACCATTATTGTTCAGAAAGGGAAGAAAATAGGCACAAATGATGGGCCAATTCGCAACACTTTCAAGACCAATGAGCCTGGGAAAATTGTCCTCACAATTGAGAATACCTCAACCAAGAAGAAGAAGAAGGTGTTCTACCGGCACAAGATCAACAAATCATGTTTTTGAGTGCTAAATTATGAAATTCGATTGATTTGGGGGGACACAGCAGAAACAAGACTGATTGAAAATGGGGTTTTTTTTTTTTAATGTTAGTTCTTGTCTATTATTCATTAGATTCTTTTTTGGAAACCTCATTCTTTCGGCTGGATCAATAAGGTTGTGTAGATTGATTCATATTAGCCGAGCTTAATGTTATTTGGGTTCTTTTGTTGCTATTTTGTAAATGTTTGGGGGGGATGGGCTTCTTGTTTTGGGGAAGTTTATGAATATTTATTGGATGAATATGTTTTATCATTTTAGATGGCAGATCTCATTACACTTTGAACCCCAAAAATTTACAGATTCTCACTTTGTACCCTTAAAATTAAATTATGCACATTACAATTTTACAGACTACACTTTGAACCCCAAAATTTTATAGATTCTCACTTTGTACCCTTAAAATTAAATTATGCACATTATACCCACACAAATTAAATTAAATTTAAATTGTTACAATGCTTATTCCGTCAAAAATTACCCCATTGATGTTAACGGGAATGAACAACAAAAATATCACATTGTATTAAATTTGAAAATTTTGTTATTTTATAGTACAAAGTGAAAAAATTTAAATTTTTTGGAATATAAATGAAATTTGCCCCCTTTTTTAAAAAAAAAAATAAAAAAACAATGCAAGTTATGTTAACAAAAAACATTGATGGCGCAGCTATGCCGACAGATCATGGAATGAAATTGGGTGGGTTCACCTTAGAATTCCAGAAAAGAATAACTAGGACGCCAAAAAGGGAATGAACAACAAAAATATCACATTGTATTAAATTTGAAAATTTTGTTATTTTATAGTACAAAGTGAAAAAATTTAAATTTTTTGGAATATAAATGAAATTTGCCCCCTTTTTTAAAAAAAAAAATAAAAAAACAATGCAAGTTATGTTAACAAAAAACATTGATGGCGCAGCTATGCCGACAGATCATGGAATGAAATTGGGTGGGTTCACCTTAGAATTCCAGAAAAGAATAACTAGGACGCCAAAAAGAGAGAGAGAGCACTGGACTTTCAATGCAATTGGAATTACGGATGAGAGTAGACCGACGTTGGGGGGGGGGGGGGGGGTGTAGTTTTCATTTTTGTGTCCGTTTAAAAATTTTTCATTCATCTTTGGTCCACCCCCATTAACGGGTATAGTTTTCATCTCTATCCATGTTCACAGGTAAATTTGTAATCCCCGCCTCCGTCCACCTTATCCGCCCTAACTCAATCACAAGCCCAAGTTCAAGGCAACATAATCTAAAATTCTAAATAAATCTAACATTCTAAATAATCAAACATAATTATAGAATATCATAACATAATTAAAACTTTGTTTACAATAATATCCAACATAATATAATTAAAAGTTTGTCTCTCTTGTAAATTCAACACAAGATAATGTAACATAACATAATCTAACATAAAATATATATATATATATATAACCAAAAACATGAAAAAAAATTAAAAAACAAAACAATTTCTAAAAGAAAAAATCATGTAAAGCAGGGCGGGGTTGAGGCGGAGCGGGGGTAAGTGTCAATCCATCTCCGTCTTCAAACTTGCACGAATTTATACAGATATTTCTGTATACGTCTATCGTCTAATACGTATAGTTCATCCTTAGTCTAAACAAAATGAATTTGAACGAATATCTATTATTACCGATCCAGTATCATCTCTAATTGGTATATATCTTTGTTGCCACTTTGGCAGAGCCGGTCGTGAAACTGAAGAAATGCGGTCATAGATCACAAATAATGGCGGAGATATGAATTTTTTACCCTTTTCCCGGGGTACTTCTTTTATTAAATATTGGGATTTTAAACTTATTTTTTGAACCCTTTTTTGTACGAAAGTGCACTTTCAACCCCATCATTCTTTTGTACAAATCACGATAAATCGATTAAGCACCCCTGCATCAGCCTTCCAGCAGTAGGTATGTCCATGGGCCGATTTATCCGTGAGTTATGTTATTCAACTCAAAAAAATAGGTCTAAGTTCGATAGTTAACCCACCAAAGCTCAATATTCTTAAAAAGAAGATTTAGATTTGTCCTCAAAGCCATTACCCCCCTTAAGCCCGGCCCAAGAGACCCCTTGTCAAGCCCGCCCGCCAAGCCCAACCTACCCACATAGCGCACCACCATTCATTTGAAAAAAAAGTTATATTTTTAAACTATTAAATTTAAAACTTTAAAATAAATCTTTTAATGTCGGAATTTGAAATTTTAAAAATTTAAATACTATAAATAATGTATTATTTTATTTTTCATATATTAAGCATATAAGTTTAAAAATGTAGAGTAATGCAAATGATAGATAAATGAGTAAGTGCCAATGTAGTTGAGATGTATTCATTCTATTAGATGTAGTTTATCCCCTAATTAAAAATAAAATTATTAATTATTTTATTTTAATTTATTTTGATTCTATTTTTTATTCAAAAATATAATTTATACAAATATTAAGTTATAAAAATATTCATTATTTTTAAATGAAGTTATATATAAAATAGCCCGTGAGCAAGCCTGGCTAACAAGCCTGCCCAATAGGCTCACGGATTGGGCTGCGAGTAGTCTATCCATACCAGAAGCCTGGCTTGGCCCGGACCGCCCGATAATTCACTTGAATAAAAGTTTGGGCTTACACCACCCAAGCTTGACCCGAAAAATTTTACGGGCTTAACCCAATCCGACCCATAGACACCCTATCCAGTAGAGCCCTCTTACCAGCTGAGCTGATGCTGCATTAATACACACAAACACCCCTCTGTCATCAAGGAAATCTTCTTGAGTTTCTCATTAGTCATTACTATTACAATTACTACTTGATTCGCTTCTTTTTTGGCACACAATTTTCACTTGCGAATGGACGAAACGTGAATGATTTGGTAAGAACCTAAAGTATGAATCCATTAGTGACCAGATTACAACGGTCAAGCAGTGGGCATCCTTTGTGTTACATAATGTGCAGAATCACCAACAAGCACTCGAATTGATAGGAAAGATTGCTACAACTGGTTGGATAATCTCGAAGGCAAGCAATGATGCAGTTTTCAATCATAAATATCAAGAGGTAACGTGGGGTCCCAGGCGAAAATTTTATATGGGCCTTTATTAATATTTTAATTTATTAATGTGTAATATTTTTATTTTTATTTTTTATTTATTTAAAAATATTTTTTTATTTTTGAAATACATTGATCAAGTTTTTATATTCAAATTTTGACAATAATTTTTTCTCAATAAATAATATAGTTAATTCATTTAATCTTAATTGGGCATAAATAAGATTTTTTCAAAGTTTTGAACAACTAATTTTAAGATAAAATATGTGAGTAAAGAATAATTTTAATACAACAAAAATTCATTCTTTACACACGAGTTATGTGCATGCATGAAGTACAAAACTTCAATAATACAGATAATTTAAGTATAAATTATTTAAACTGAAAATTTATATTAAGATAAAAAAGGAACCAATTTTAAAAAATTTTACCGCAAGAAATAATGTATATAAATTTTTTATGTGAGTGAGAGGAATACAACTATAAACACACCCCAAAGAATTAGAAAAACTTAAATAAAAACACACAAAGAGGGATTAAATTTAGACCTAACAAAATTAAATATTGAATTGAAATACTAAAATTTAGGCCTTAAAAATTATCATATATATTGGCGGAATTCTAGGTGGCTCTACAGCCCCTAGACTGACACGTGGAATAATGAAGTCGTTGTGATGCCCAAAAGGCACCGAGGAGATAAGCCGAGGTATGGTGTCCCAGAGGAGCCGAGTACAACAGTTGACACCCTATTTAATACGATGTGACCCCTCATTTATGGCAGAATGAGTGATAGTGACAAGACTATTAAATGTGCGCCTACAAGCACCTGCATTCTAAGCGTCTAGGCCTACTATCATGATGATTAAGCATTAATGGCTACTATGCCGAGTAGATGAGGTCGGCTCTCCTCGAGAAACTGTTTCCCCGGGTATTGAATGCTTAGTTGCGGGCCAGACGTCGATCTAAGGGATGTGGATACTCGGGGAATGACATAAATGCTCGGCATGGAGCCGAGTGCTTGTCCCATCATCCTAGCAGTGAGTAGGAGAAGACGTGAGTGGAGAACACTCATTGCGTGAGAAGTGATATGTCAGACATTAAATGTCCAGATGAGACTGGAGGTCTTGGCCAATCATTGCTAATTCAGGTATAAATACTCCTCAGAAAAATGAACAGAGGTATGCAGGATTGAATCAGAAAAAGATTATTCATTGAACTTGAACCTCGAACCTTAATACTGACTTAAGCTTTGGAAGGACAAGCCGGATATTCACTTGGCCCCATTTTTCTGACCCTATAGTTGTTTCAGGTTCACCAGGTTGGATGTCGCTATCTCAAAACTATATATTATAGTGATATTGTACTAAATGAATAAATATTTTTGGAAACTGTCTAAAATTTGGTGCCCTAGACAAGCTAATTAGCTGGTTAGGGCTTGGGCCGGCCCTGTAAAGATCCCAACCCACTGTCTCAGAGTCTTCTAGGAGAATTCTTCTCGACCAGTATACTGGCAAGCAAAAGTAACTTGAGCCAATCTCCATAACAGCGATGGGATTTCTAGCTACAAGATGAGTATAACTTCTGTGGGTATTGTCACCAAGAACTACGAGGGCTAGCTGATGAAGAGCAGAACTTCCACCCCCCGCCGGACCTAGGCATAGACCATTAAGATCACCCCCTAGGCCTCAATATAATGCATATATTTAGGATTTAAAAAAAAAATTATATTAAAAATATTGAAAAAGATGAGTTATCTCCACACAATAACTTACATTAAGTGAGACCTTTTTTACGTCCCATCTTCTTGAAAATTTCAAATAACCTTAGAATAAGTTTTTTAATTTTAAAACCCCTTTAATATTCAAGGAACATTCTAAAATATACAAAGAATATAAAGAAAAGTAAAAGAGAGACCTAAAATATTCTTCCATCTATATATATATATATATAATAAATCAGCTAACAAGTTGAATCTTTATCCCCTATACATTTTCCCCAAAAAAATCACATCATCCAATTCTATTACATATGCAATCATTTAATATTTAGTTAATCTATAGTTTAATAGAACTTTTATTTCATACATTATTCGTACATGATAGTGTACAAATGTTGAAAAAATTTTATCAAGTTATTTTGAGAAAAATTTTGACGTTATGTTTAAGAAAATAATTAGTAGAAATTAATTTCAAATGATGTAGGCA